CGGAGGTCATACAAGAATTAGAGACGCAGCGAGAACCACTGGACAAGTATGAGGCGGAGAGGGAGGTCCACCTCATGCACAGCGCCCCCATCCTGGGTCACCATGACATTGTCAATGACCTGACCTTGTGTCACAGCACCCAGACTTTGGTTATATCGGCAGCAAGAAACGGCCATATAAAAGTCTGGAAATAAACATTGACAGGATTATGTCTCATAAGTTTCATTTGCTTAGAGTAGAAATGTCCAAGGTACAAACTAACTGGCTTGTTAACAAATACATTATTTTTTTCATGAGCACACAATATTTTTTAATGAACAGCGAGATAAACATTGTCTTATGGTTGAAGCTAAAGCAAAAGTCATTACTTAGTTGTGCACAAAGAGTTAACTCCCCTCCATGGCTCTGACTTTATACCTCCTCCTCCTTGTCCCGTCGTCCCCCGTCCCCCCATCCATGGTTAGGTTTTCTCTTGGGAATAGTTGTGTCATCATTATTGTTTGGTGGGTTTTCTCTTGGGAATAGTTGTGTCATTATTGTTTGCCAATTATTTTTTTTGGGGGGTGCTACTAGCTTTAAGAATCTTTTTGTGTGATTCTTAATGGGAATCAGTATAAGTTTTTTGCTGGTGGAGGAAATATTTGAATTACGTGCAATAACAATTCAAGCTTCTCACTCCAAACTTTTTACTCTTAGTTAATGATTTTTCTGTTTTAAACTTCCAGGGCCAAATCAGGAATTTGTTAATGACTAATTTTCAAATGCAGTTTGCCACCAAGTGGTGGTCAGTGGACTGACACATGTCCATGGGTCCTTCCTTACATTGCCAGTCCACACAACATGAGCTAGGAAACTAAAATTAAAAAAAAAAATTGTTTCATAGCTTGAGTCAAGTTTTAAAAACACTTTAGAGAAAAGAGATTTTCTTGCGTGTACAACAGGTCATTCACCCTTTCTAAGGATGTTTTCTTGTAACGTTTGTTTTCTCAAACTCCCTATGAAGACTTGCACTTAACATTATAAATATATCTCAAATTCTGCTATTGGAATTTTTTTATTGTTGAACAGCCATAAAAAAACAATTTTAAAAGCCAACAGTAAATGGTAAGACATTACAGTACTATCCAATTAAAAAAATATTTTTTGACATACCAAAGGCCAAAGAAAGATAATTAATCTGGCTTGTGTCCCTGGTGGGATGGGAAACTTGCCCACAGCTCCGCCAAACTTACTTGTTTTGGAATCTCTGGTCTAGTGGTTAGCTCCTGTATTGCAGTTTGCTTCATTTTAGTCCAATGGCTGGGAGGGGGAGGACATTTTGTTTAGAGTTTTAGGGAGGGGCACCACTAGATTAAGTTGACAGATTTAGTTCTTTTTATATCTAATAATATTCTCAGTAATATTATATTGGGCTCATCCCCCCTCCCCCCCCAAACCGCCCCTAAAAAAACCCTATCACTTCCATCTTTAATCCACTACTGCCATTAAGCATTGAGCCACATCATGTCCTTCAAGTTATTATCCCGTTGTTTTTTGTTGTTTTTTGTTTTAAAACGACCAGTGGTTCTCAACTAGGATGTATGATGTGTCTTGTCTACTGGTTGATTAATAGCACAACGCCTCAGCTTTCTCTTTTAGGCTTTCAAGTCAGACTGCGTTCAACACATTTACTACATGTCTACATCATCTTTCTTTGTGGGGGGTGCTGCTTTGGGTAACTGCAATACATTTTGAGAATCACTGGTGTGGGTTAATTCTTTGATGAAATATTTATGTGTAGATGAGTTGAGGAGAGTCCATGCTACAAGTCTTTCACACAATTTATTATGGATGTGAATGCTGTTCAATATCTGCATTGGTTTGATATAATGATTGAGTGCTTGCCATTATTTTCCTTTGAAACTCAGGTTTTGTATTTTTGATTATTTTGTATGAAAGGGAAAACCATAACAATAACAAGCATGCAGGCTATGAGTGGGGGACTCTGCTCCATGCAAATGCTTTGGCAATATGTTGCAGGGGCTGACAGAGCAAATCATAGTGTGTACATTGCCAGGCCCGGCAGAGCAAATCATAGTGTGTACATTATCTGGCCTGACAGAAAATCATTCTGTGTACATTGCCAGGCCTGACAGAGCAAAGCATGGTGTGCACATTGCCAGGTCTGTCAGAGCAAAGCATGGTGTGCACATTGCCAGGTCTGTCAGAGCAAAGTATGGTGTGTACATTGCCAGGCCTGTCAGAGCAAAGCATGGTGTGTACATTACAGGCCTGACAGAGCAAAGCATGGTGTGTACATTGCCAGGTCTGTCAGAGCAAAGCATGGTGTGTAAGTTTTAATCACATAATGTTTTACAGAGTAACATTTTCCTTATCATAATTTAACATTGTTTCGAAAGGTTCATATGACAAATATAAGTGTTTCTCAAGTTTTGCTATTGTTGGGGGGTCAAGCAGGCTGGAATTTATATGTCCAACCTTTCCCCATCTAAGTGAGAACATAAATACATTTTCTTTTCCCAAGTTTTAATTTATCTAATGTGAAATATTATATTATTACTTCAGACCAGGTGAGTTTTATCCAGTGCATGTATTATTGTGCCCAGTGGTTGAATACATAACAGTAACAGTTTTGTAACCACAGGTTGTTTGTATTTTTAAATGTATATATATATATATATATCACATAAAATTCATACAGGTGTATGATTGTTCAGACATAAAACTGTGACATAGTTATATATATTAAAGTTAAAATAAAATATGGAAAGAGAGTACTGCTACATGTTGCTGAATAGCCTCTAACCCGCTTTTTTTCATATCCTGGAAATATGTCTTGTGTTCATCTTAATGGCAGACAGGTGTTTAATTAGTGTGTCATTGTTAGACATGTCATTAGCCAGAATTATTAGAGTGGTTGTGTCATTGTTGGAATGTCATTAGTCAGAAACATTAGAGTGGTTGACAATGGACAAATTGAATTGTTTGGCAGCTTTGTAAAATAAAATTTCCAATTGATGTCGATTTATTGAACTAAATCTGTTTGTTAGGACTTACTTGTGTACATTACGATTGTTTAAGGGCTATTTTGATGTTGCTTGATTGATGTTTTTAAAGGAAGGCTGATTGTGATAATTATACCAGAAGTTTACATATTTGATGGATGCATTAAATACTGTCTGGTTGGAACTTTGGATAAAAACACTTAACACAACTTGACCCTTGTCAATGGTAGCCCCTTGAATAAACATGGGTACCCCGGGACCAGATTTGTTCATTTCTTTTCCTCATTCTTATTTATGTTTAATAAATATACAAAGATGACTGTTGATTGGTTGCAAGGCAAAGGCTGCACGATGAAACATAAATATATCTAGCTGCATGCCTCGGATGATTGATTTATGAGTCTGCCTCCGATCATTGGTTCTCAACTCTGATTCATGAGTCTGCCACGGATCATTGGTTCTCAACTCTGATTTATGATTCTGCCTCAGATCATTGGTTCTCAACTCTGATTTATGAGTCCACCTCAGATCATTGGTTCTCAAATCTGATTCATGAGTCTGTCACAGATCATTGGTTCTCAACTCTGATTTATGATTCTGCCTCAGATCATTGGTTCTCAACTCTGATTTATGAGTCTGCCTCAGATCATTGGTTCTCAACTTTGATTTATGAGTCTGCCTCAGATCATTGGTTCTCAGCTCTGATTTATGAGTCTGCCTTAGATCATTGGTTCTCAAATCTAATTCATGAGTCTGCCACAGATCATTGGTTTTCAACTCTGATTTATGATTCTGCCACAGATCATTGGTTCTCAACTCTGATTTGTGAGTCTGCCTCAGATCATTGGTTCTCAACTCTGATTTATGAGTCTGCCTCAGATCATCGTTCAAAACTCTGATTTATGAATGTGACTGATGTCATTTGAGACCTGTCTTTTAAAAATAATAGCTGTGTTATTCTACTAGATGTGCTCTCATCCGTGTGCACAGCTGTATAACTCCACAGGATGTGCTCACATCTTTGTGCACAGCTGTAATATTCTACTTGATGTGTGCACATCTTTGTGCACAGCTGTATTATTAAACTGGATGTTCTCCCATCTTAGTGCACAGATGTATTTTTTGACTGGATGTGCTCACATATTTGTGCACAGCTGTATGATTCTACAGGTTGTGCTTACATCTTTGTGCACAGCTATATGATTCTACAGGTTGTGCTTACATCTTTGTGCACAGCTATATGATTCTACAGGTTGTGCTTACATCTTTGTGCACAGCTGTATTATTCTACAGGTTGTGCTTACATCTTTTTTCTGAGGCAGTGACAATTATATGATAGCAACCGAATATTGAAGTCTCCAATAAAACTCTACAGGACTAAATCTACCTGCTTTCCTTGTCATAGGGTAGTGGTAGGAAAAATAATGTTTCAAATAATTCAATATATGATTTATTATACAATATCTTGGGTCCAAACCCAGCTAGCTCTGTTCATATTTTTATTATTTGTATGTTGGGAACCCAGTGAAATGCACCTTAATAACACTAGGACATTTAACTATATGTCATTAGTTGGCTGCAGACATTTAACTATATGTCATTAGTTGGCTGCAGACATTTAACTTTATGTCAATAGTTGGCTGCAGACATTTAACTACATGTCATTAGTTGGCTGCCGCATTCACCACTGAGTTTTATCGTGGTATCTTTGCAAATGCATTCAATAAATTATGTTTAAATAAATGAATAAGCCATTAGAAAGGGCTTATAGTGTAGCGTTGAAGAGACAGTGAAACAATAATGGAGACTTTGACACAATGTTCCAACATATGGACACTTTTAACAAGTGATGAGACAGTGAGACGTACATAGAAACTATACAATGTCATACACTTGTAGCACTGTACTGTACAACTCTTAAATAAAGACAGTGTAACATTTATAATTTAAAGACACTAAAACTTAAGCAATACCAGTACGGCACATTTGTGGACACACTGTGCAACACTCAGAGACACCGTAACATACTTGTGGACACACTGTGCAACACTCAGAGACACCGTAACATACTTGTGGATACAGTGTGCAGCACTCAGAGACACCGTAACACACTTGTGGACACAGTGTGCAACACTCAGAGACACCGTAACACACTTGTGGACACACTGTGCAACACTCAGAGACACCGTAACACACTTGTGGACACACTGTGCAACACTCAGAGACACCGTAACATACTTTTGTGGACACAGAGTGCAGCACTCAGAGAGACCGTCACACTGTGCAACACTCAGATCGTAACACACTTGTGGACACAGTGTGCAACACTCAGATCGTAACACACTTGTGGACACAGTGTGCAGTTGATAGGGAAGGCTGGTGGGGTGGCGCGGCCCTCCCTTTCTTTACACGTAAGCTTGGCATTTTCTGCCAACCGCAGAGTTTTTTCGTTGGCACGAGGCGAATGCTAAATCTTGACCCACCCCAGATGACACTAACCCTAGCTACGCCACTGACATTGTGACATTCTTTTAGATACACATTAGTTCTTCTCTGATCACGATTGTGTCATCATTGTTTAAATATTGTGAAATGGATTTGTAAACCCCAGCTTGAGGTTGCTGGCAGTGACCGGATGGTTTCTTTGTATTTATTTTAGCTACAATCAAAATACAAGTTTATATAAGTCTTCACATAATTTATGATGCTTAAATAATTTATGTGGAGTAATAAACCTTTGATTTTTAATTTTAGAAACTACAGTACCCCGAAAACAAGTTTAAATAAGGGAAAACTACTGCAATTGTAATTTTGTTAAACAATTTATTATCCCCCTTTGAATTCATTCAAATTTGTTGACCTCTCAAAGACTTCGTGATTGATTGTGAGTGATCGATTCTTATAAATGTTGATTTGTTGTTTTTTTTTTCCATAAAACAAATGTTATGTTTAAATATTTTGAGATCTCTTAAAAAATAGTATCACTGTGCATGTATTATGCATACAAAATAGCACCTGGATACAGCGTGTAAAGTCATAGCCATTTTGGTCTGTGATAATGTCGTGATTGTTAGTTTAACTGTACCAAGTCGTTATGGGGTTTGATGAAACTATTCATTATCATATATTTATTCAAATATATTATAAAAAATTTGAAGCATCCCATGTTTTATTTTGTAGAGAGAAATTGATCGTAAAACAAGAATTTTGTTGAATGGAATGGTAGTGTGTATATGTTGCTTTAGATTTCTAGGCCACTTAACGTATGTTATTTTTAATGAAATCCAATGACATGACATACATATGTACTTTCCTCTTATTTACAGGGGGGCCAACACTGTGTAATATTTATGTTGAGTTGTGCAAGTCTGGTGTAAACTTGTGCAAGTCTAAGGGGAAATTGTGCAAGTCTGGGGTAAACTTGTGCAAGTCTAATGGGAAATTCTGTAAGTGTGAGGTGATTGCGTGCAAGTCTGTGATGAAATTTTAAATTGTACAAGTCTGAAGTGAAATTGTGCAAGTCTGAGAGAAACGTGTGCAAGTCTGAGGGAAACGTGTGCAAGTCTAAGGGGAAATAGTGCAAGCATGAGGTGAAATTGTGCAATTCTGAGGTGAAATACTGCTAGTCTGAGGTGAAATTGTTCAAGTCAAGGGTGAAATTGTGCAAGTCTTGGTTAAATTGTAAATTGTGCAAGTCTATGGTTAAATTGTGCAAGTCTAGGGTGAAATTATGCAAGTCTAGAGTAACTATCTAAGTTGTGGAAGTTTAGTGTAAAGTTGTACACGTCTAGGGTAACTTTTTAAGTTGTGGAATTCTAATGTGAAGTTGAGCAAATATATGGCGATTGTGATCAGGGGAAAGTTGTAAGTCGTGCAAGCAAGTCTGGAGTGGTGAAGTGCAAGCAAGTCTGGAGTGCTGATGTGCAAGCAAGTCTGGAGTGCTGATGTGCAAGAAAGTCTGGAGTGCTGATGTGCAAGCAAGTCTGGAGTGCTGATGTGTAAGAAAGTCTGGAGTGCTGATGTGCAAGCAAGTCTGGAGTGCTGATGTGCAAGAAAGTCTGGAGTGCTGATGTGCAAGCAAGTCTGGAGTGCTGATGTGCAAGCAAGTCTGGAGTGCTGATGTGCAAGCAAGTCTGGAGTGCTGATGTGCAAGAAAGCCTGAAGTGCTGATGTGTAAGCAAGTCTGGAGTGCTGATGTGCAAGCAAGTCTGGAGTGCTGATGTGCAAGCAGGTCTGGAGTGTTGATGTGCAAGCAAGTCTGGAGTGCTGATGTGCAAGCAAGTCTGGAGTGCTGATGTGCAAGCAAGTCTGGAGTGCTGATGTGCAAGCAAGTCTGGAGTGCTGATGTGCAAGCAGGTCTGGAGTGCTGATGTTTCGTATGGACGCTGTTAGTGAATGAATCAAAACGTGAAACGTATTGTTTTAAGTTCCTAATGAACATTCGACCTTCATTCATTAAATATAATTGTGTAGAGATGGAGGCTTTGTTTTATTTCTAAGCATAGAATTCCAATGGGATCTACTCATGACATTCACATCTTTATTAAAGATGGTGTTGGCGCCGGCGTGGTTTTTTTTTTTTTTTTTTTTTTTTTTTTTTTTTTTTTGCTACTCAAGGTTTGATGACTAGCTAAAGAAAAAGGATAATTTGCTTTATTTGTGGTCTACTATGACTTTGAAGTAGATTTTAAAAAGTGCCAGTTCTCTATCAATACAAAAATGTGTTTGATGATTTTACACCTAGACTTTGAAATATTTCAAAATGTAATGTACAGTATTATGTCTTGGAGTTAAGAGTAAGTTCAGGAGATTCAGAAATATTTGAATACTCTGCAGACTGTCAGTTAAAGTTACATAAGTACTGTCTGGCCTGACTCACACAATGTGTTTACGGCTCCATCTATGTCTGCATACGGCAAAATCCGATTCTCTAACCGAACCAATATCATGTTTATGACGACTTTCTAACTGTATCAATGTCCTGTTTATGACGACTCTCTAACCGTACTAAGTACCCATAAACCGGATTTTTATTTTACAACTTGGCCTGACCTCCAACTGTGTCATTCATGCACACTGCAGTCTTAAGTTGAAATGTCCGTTGCAGTTTGCCCAACAAGTCGTCTCCCATGAAATACCAACTTAAGCAGTGTGACAGGCAGGTCAGGTTGACTTTGTTTCTTACTTAAATATTGTAAGTCCATTCTTTTCTTTAATTGAGACAAAGAAAACAAGTATATATTTTTTTATTACATTGTACAAATTTATTTTCAGTTTTTAGCACATAAATTAATACGTATTTAAATTAAGACAACATTTTTACAATTAGAACTATATAAAAAAGAAGACATCTAAAGTATTTCTTTAACTTAAGAATGAGCAATAATATTTTTTTTAAAAAATATTTAACTCACTTAGTGACAATACTGTCTGAAGTAGATCAGTTAGATTTGATACAATAGGGACACTTTTGAAAAATCCTTTATGTTAATTTCGCTTTTGTTCGTGGCACTTGCAAAATCTTCGGACGGCCCATCGACCCCCCTTCCGTCAACCTAACGAGCTGAAACTTTAGCACGTACGTCTGGTGCTTTTTTCTCACATAAATGGTGAAAAAGATTTTCGTTGTAAAGATCGGTGGGTCATTAGAATATCAATATAGATCAGGGGCGTGAGCAAAATGTGCGGTTTTCAGCCTTTAGGGGGATTACGTAATTGGGATTCTTATAAAGTCATTACTTGTATGCATATTTTTTTCAAATTATCACACCCCCCCCCCGGCCAATGGTCAGTATTACATTTTATAAAAGATTTNAAATCTTCGGACGGCCCATCGACCCCCCTTCCGTCAACCTAACGAGCTGAAACTTTAGCACGTACGTCTGGTGCTTTTTTCTCACATAAATGGTGAAAAAGATTTTCGTTGTAAAGATCGGTGGGTCATTAGAATATCAATATAGATCAGGGGCGTGAGCAAAATGTGCGGTTTTCAGCCTTTAGGGGGATTACGTAATTGGGATTCTTATAAAGTCATTTCTTGTATGCATATTTTTTTCAAATTATCACCCCCCCCCCGGCCAATGGTCAGTATTACATTTTATAAAAGATTTATAAGGGTTGTTTAATCATGTCGTTTAAACTGATGGTAAATCAAGAATAAGGAAAAGGTACCTTTTTTTTCGCCAGTCCCAAAACCCGTTGTCGCAAATGAAAATCTCCCGACTTCAACACCATTTTTATTAAACATAGAATTTAAATGAGGACAGCCAACTTTGTGGAAAAGACACTAGCCTTTTGGCATAAGATGGGCGTCTGGCATTGTCTGACACTCTGTGCTGTCACTGCTTTGATCTGTCACTTTGTACCAAGAATCACGTGTGTGCTACTCTCGCTGTCACTGTTATACCCTGTCATCATGCACCTAGTTTAATGTTCGCACTACCCTTGCTGTCACTGCTTTACGCTGCCACTTCCTCGGAACTTCGTACCTAGTATTATGTTCGTACCACCCTTGCTGTCACTATCATACCTTATCACTGTCACTATATAACTAGTATCGTGTTCGTACAAGTCTCACTGTCACTATTATACCCTGTCACTATGTACCTAGTATAATATTTGTTATTTATTTCAAAGTCCTTGTTATACGTAGTAACCATGGGCGCCCGCAGAAAAATTTCTAGGGGGGGGGGCAAAAAATGTTTAGTAATGTTTTAATGTAGTTTTAATTTACTGTAGCGTATTTGTATGGTGAACGAACGGACAGGACATCAGCTTAGTTACTTTCTCTTTATTTTTCTCTTTACCTGAAAAAAAATTTTTGTATATTTTTGTCTAAACAAATTTAATCCAATCAATCCGGGGGGGNGCTATACTCCGTAGGATTGTACCCAGTATCATTTATTATTTATCAGCATATTTAATTGTTGACCCCCCCCCCCTTTTGCAACTTTTAGTAATATAATCTATCGATCTCATTCTAAAAAGATCAATAATTTTAAAAATTGTATATCTACTTTTGTAAAAAAAAACAAAAAAAACAAAGGCTGTCCTGTGCTAGTACGTACCGGTGTTTTCTGCGTACCGGTGTTTTTTGCGTACCGGTGTTCTTGCTTACCGGTGTTTGTACGTATCGGTGTTTTGTGCGTACCGGTGTTTGTACGTACCGGTGTTTATGACAATGACACAATGGAAATCCCGACAACTCCTACGACATAGAAAGCATAAAGAACACAGCGAGACATACAAGACACACTGCTTGCCATGTCATCTACTGACAGTGAGACACACAAGACACACTACTTGTCATGTCATCTACTGACAGTGAGACACACAAGACACACTGCTTGTCATGTCATCTACTGCCAGTGAGACACACTGCTTGTCATGTCATCTACTGACAGTGAGACACACTGCTTGTCATGTCATCTACTGACAGTGAGACACACAAGACACACTGCTTGTCATGTCATCTACTGACAGTGAGACACACAAGACACACTGCTTGTCATGTAATCTACTGACAGCGAGACACACAAGACACACTGCTTGTCATGTCATGTACTGACAGCGAGACACACAAGACACACTGCTTGTCATGTCATCTACTGACAGTGAGACACACAAGACACACTG